CAAATCTCCTGGAGGTAGAGGGAGAATCGAACTTGCTCTTGGTTCTCTCTGGGCGGCGGGCTGCAAAGGCCAACTAGGACGCTGGCCCCGCGCTCTGGGTTAGTTTGGTAGCCAGGTTCTGTGACTCTGGATAGGAGGTGGAGGTAGGGTTTCTGCTTCCGCTCCCGCCCATTCAAATCCTGGCTCTTCCCTGGACCTCAGTTTCCTTGTCTATGAAATTGAATTAATGGCACCTCTCCCCCCTTGGGGAGGGGAAGGGCAAGAGCGGGTTTAGAAGAGCCTGCCGCAGCCTCGTCCATCGTCCGGGCGGCGAGTGTTGTCAGATGGGGTGTGAGGAAGGCGCTCTGTGTTCGCAGGGGCGGAGGAATATTCCAGCTTCCTGCAGGAGGCGCAGGTGCCCTTCCTCTCCCTGGAGCGCTGCTCAGCCCCGGACGTGCACGGAGCCTCTATCCTGCCCGGCATGCTCTGCGCAGGGTTCCTCGAGGGCGGCACCGATGCGTGCCAGGTGAGACCTTAGCCGGGTTAGCGCCCTTCCCTGAGGTCATCAGGCACAAATCCCAGGCCCACGGCGCTGAGCTGCGAGTTTCCGACCCAGGGTGATTCCGGAGGCCCGCTGGTGTGTGAGGACAAGGCCGCCGGGCACCAGCTAACCCTGCGAGGTGTCGTCAGCTGGGGATCGGGCTGTGGTGACCGCAACAAGCCAGGCGTCTACACCGACGTGGCCAACTACCTGTCTTGGATCCAGGAGCACACCGCTTCCTGATTGCTCAGGGATTTGTCTTTCCTTCCTCAGCGATTCCGCAGTGGGAGGGTGGCTGGGGCATGGACGTCAAGATGGTGTCCCATTCCCCCAGTGAGGCCAGCTCCGTGCCAAGATGGCGCAGGAACTCAATAAAGTGCTTTGAAAATGCTGATAAGGAAAGCTCTACTCCTTGGGTCCCGTTGGGAAATGCCAAGACAGAAAAGCGATTCACCCTTCTCCACAGCTCTCAGAAAACAAGGTCTATGAGATCTTAACGTGCAAGATCTAGATCCCGGTCCAGCTAATGTTTACAGAGCCTAGGATACTGTATACCAAGCCCTGTGCAAGGAGAAGCTGCATGTTATTCCTCATTAAAAAAAAACTCACTAACCTTTTGTTTACAGAGCAATAGTTCTCAGACCATACATTAAGATCACCTGGGGAGCTTTTTGAGCCAATATGTGTCCAAGGTCCACCTCAGACCAATTAAATCAGTTATGTCTAGGGATGAGGCATAGGTACTGGTATGTTTTTAAAACTCCACAGATAATTCCATGTACAACCAGCCAAGGTTGAGAATAATGGTTAGAAATACTTAGCATTAGGCCGGGCGCGGTGGCTCAATCCTGTAATCCCAGCACTTTGGGAGGCCGAGGCGGGTGGATCACGAGGTCAAGAGATCGAGACCATCCTGGTCAACATGGTGAAACCCCGTCTCTACTAAAAATATAAAAAATCAGCTGGGCATGGTGGCGCGTGCCTGTAGTCCCAGTTACTCGGGAGGCTGAGGCAGGAGAATTGCCTGAACCCAGGAGGCGGAGGTTGCGGTGAGCCGAGATCTCGCCATTGCACTCCAGCCTGGGTAACAAGAACGAAACTCCGTCTCAAAAAAAGAAAAAGAAATACTTAGCATCGTCCGGGCGGTAATCCTAGCACTTTGGGAGGCCGAGGGAGGCGGATTGCCTGAGCTCAGGAGTTGGAGACCAGTCTAGGCAACACTGTGAAACCCCGTCTCTACTAAAATACGAAAAATTAGCCGGATGTGGCAGTGTGTGCCTGTAGTCCCAGCTATTCAGGAGGCTGAGGCAAGAGAATCACTTGAATCCAGGAGGCAGAGGTTGCAGTGAGCCAAGATTGTGCCACTGCACTCCAGGCTGGGCGACAGAGCAAGACTCCATCTCCAAAATAAATAAATAAATAATACTAATACTATTTAGCATTGGCAGTGGTGTGGACCCTGAGCGCTGAGTGACATATCCTTGTCCCCACCCCAATATGCACTAATGTGGTGGGTCTCAGAGTCCCTTGGCTAGCAATACATCACCAGGGGACTTCTTAGACATAACAAATTCTTGGGCTACACTTTATACTGCTGAACAGAAAGTCTGGGTGGGAAGTATCAATCTGTTTAACACCATTGCAGGGGATTCTGATGTTCTTTTATGCTTGAGAACCACAATCTGGGGATTTAATGGTTGGTTCCCTGACTCGCCAGGTGATCTTAATGTATGGTCTGCAAACTGCTTTGTAAACAAAATAGTAGTTTCTTATGAGGACTAACATGCAGCTTCTCCTTGCACAGGGCTTGGCATACAGGTGGAGGTCTGGCTGTCCAAACACGGTATCTTTTTGTTCATAAAATCATCTTTTTAAAATTAAAAAAAGATTGGCCAAATGCAGCAGTTCACGCCTGTAATCTCACTTTGAGAGTCTGAGGCGGGAGGATTGTTTGAGCTCAAGACTTTATGGCCCGCCTGGGCAACATAGTGAGACTTCATCTCAATTAAAAAAAAATGTTTTGGGCCGGGCGCGGTGGCTCAAGCCTGTAATCCCAGCACTTTGGGAGGCCGAGGCGGGTGGATCAAGAGGTCAAGAGATCGAGACCATCCTGGTCAACATGGTGAAACCCCGTCTCTACTAAAAATATAAAAAATCAGCTGGGCATGGTGGCGCGTGCCTGTAGTCCCAGTTACTCGGGAGGCTGAGGCAGGAGAATTGCCTGAACCCAGGAGGCGGAGGTTGCGGTGAGCCGAGGTCATGCCATTGCACTCCAGCCTGGGTAACAAGAGCGAAACTCTGTCTCAAAAAAAAAAAAAAAAAATTTTTTTTAAAAAAAAAAAAAAAAAATTTTTTTTTATTAATTTTTTTTTTTTTTTTTTAAGAGACAGGGCCTGGCTCTGTGGCCCAGGCTGGAGTACAGCGACAGGATCCTGTAATAGTTGACTATAATCTCGTTATTGAGTTCAAGAGATCCGGCCGCCTCAGCCTCCCAAAGCGCTGGGATTACAAGAGTGAACCACCACGTTCTGCCAAACCCGTCCTACAGGGTAATCCTAGAACAGCCTGGGCACTAAACGCCCATGCCCCACGTGCCCTAGCCTGGGTGGTAGCTACAGGACGGCCCCTTGTGTGACGTCACAGCCCCGCCCCGCAAGCGTCACAGCACCGCAGGCATTCCCGGCGCGGCGCCTCTACACAGCATAGAGAAGCGCGAGGTCGGGGGACGCACTCGGAGCACGATGGGCGACTGGAAGGGCTACATCAGTGCAGTGCTGCAGGACCAGCGCATCGACGACGTGGCCATCGTGGGCCACGCGGACAACCGCTGCGTGTGGGCTTCGCGGCCCGGGGGCCTGCTGGCTGCCATCTCGCCGCAGGAGGTGGGCGTGCTCACCGGGCCCGACCGGCGCACCTTCCTGCAGGCGGGCCTGACCGTGGGGGGCCGCCGCTGCTGCGTCATCCGCGACCACCTGCTGGCCGAGGGCGACGGCGTGCTGGACGCGCGCACCAAGGGGCTGGACGCGCGCGCCGTGTGCGTAGGCCACGCGCCGCGCGCGCTCCTGGTGCTCATGGGCCGACGCGGAGTCCACGGGGGCATCCTCAACAAGACGGCGCACGAGCTCATCCGCGGGCTGCGCATGCAGGGCGCCTAGCCTGACAGCCCAGGCCGCCCACGGGTAGCCCGGTAGCGCTGGCCGAATAAACTGTGACCTGGGTGTGGCTAGCGCCTCCTCCACTTGCGCCGCAGGGGGAGTTGTAAATAAGGAAACTGATCTTTGCAAGGAGGTTACCTGATGGAGCCGGGATTTTGAGTCTAGAGGCTGCCAGGATCCTGTGCCCTCCACCCTGCTCTCCCATGGACGCCTTGCAGAGGCCAGGGCCTGACTGCTGCTCCTTGGCGCCTTCCCAGGGTCCTAGGGACTCCGTAGCTGAGGAAGAGTCCAAGGATGGGGGCCTTCTCAAAGTCTGTTTCATCCTTAGCGTCCTTTCTCACAAATATTTCCACATTAGCCAGATGCGGTAGGACAAGTAAAGGGAGTCCCCTCCCCATCCCGCGAACACCTCTCCCCATCAGGGAGTAGGGCCGGAGGCCATGTGCTTCTCTTGCCCTCCACTCACATCCCAAGCACTAGCAAGTAGTGAGTGGGTAACAGGATGGACCTGGTAGCTTGTAAAGCAGATTTGGGGCTCACAGGCCCCTGTATCTTCGCCCACATTCCTCTAAGGAGGCCCACTGAGAGGGCACATGTCCAAGACCAAGACCATCACAACCTGGGACCTTACATCCTGCCTTCCCCAGGCCTTCCCTAAGGCCCCAGAGGAGTTCCTGAACTAGAGGGAGGAACTCTGGCATCCCTACCCACGGGACTCACACTGTAGGCCTCAGTTTCGGGGTGACCTACAGAAGAGTGGGAATTGAAAAGCTTGGGTGAGTTTGAGGCCTGGTTTATTGCCCAAAGATAGTGGACAAAAGTGGGAGAGAGGGTGTCTGGTCCCTGCCCTCCATGTGCTGGGGCCCAGGGCATGACCTCCATTGCCCACCACTACCCTCCCCATCCCCTCTCTCCCAGCTGCCCTGATGGCAGACCCCACCTGACACTCATTCTGGAGCCTTGCTCTTATCCCAGCAAGGAGGAGTGAGCATCTGGCTGAGGTGGGTGAATTTAGAGGGCAGAGGGAGACCAGAGGAAGTTCAGCCAGGTGGGGGTCAGGGGATGGGGATACAGATTCCTCCTTACACTTGCCTTGGGGGTGGCCCCAGGCCTAGGAGGGGCTTCCAGGGAGTTTGAATTGTGGATTGGACTCACTAAGGCAGATGGTTGGGGTGAGCCTGCAGGGCTGGCTTCTCTGGAACTGTACCTGGCCAGGGCAGAGTAGGCTGCTCTTGCAGCGAGTCTTTGAGGGGAGATGGTGCTGCTGAAACCCATGGCTTGGTCTTCCCTTTTGCCATTGATGGAGACCAAAAAAGACTTCTGAATGCCTAAGGAGAGTTTAATTCCTTTTGTTTTTTTCCATTAGGCAAGTGTGAAGGGAGTTGTGGTGGAGCTGAAGACCTGGGTGAGGATGAGGTGGATGATATCTTGGAGGAAGGAAGGTGGCAGGGAGGTGTGCAAATTCAGTGAGGCAGGCACCAACATCTATGCACAAACAGCTGCACAGTCATATACTCAGACCCACTCTCACCTGCCTATCCTAGTCATGTATACCCATGCAGAGGACCCAAAGCCCTACCCAGATACGCTGCAACTTGCTCACAGCCTCCCACAGATGTGTCTGTGTATGTGTGCAGAGGCTGGCACATGTGTACACAAAAGCTTCTACACACAGACAGGTGCACATGCAGACTCATCCCCACACATGCATACACACCGACACTGACACACAAGCCCAGACCTTTTCAGAGCTGCAGAAGGAGAGACTGGCACCCAGAGTAGCACAGGCACATGCACACACATACACACACACTCCCCTGCCTTTCCACCCAGGCCTTCCCCATTCCCAGCTGTGGTCTGGGCCCACAGTCTAGAATCGGGTGGCATTGTGGTGAGCAGGCAGTGCAAGGTGGGGGGAGGGCGTGGCGGGGGGTAGCTCCTCCAGGAATACCCTGGGGGGCAGTGGGGGAGAGCGGGGCTCAGGCCTGGCACAGCATAGAGTGGCTCGGGTGATGAGGCGGTCCAGGGGCTTCAGGGAATGCATCCAGCGAGGCAGGAAATCCCATGTCTGTAACCACTTGGGCAGATGCCGGGGACTCCGACTCTGCAGGACATTGACAAGCACCACAAAGGCGAGCAGGGCCCCGAAGGGTGTGCCTACACCTACCATGGCCTGCCAGCCTGCCATAGAGATGCCAAACACCAGTGAAGGCAGCAGCAGGAAGCAGACAAGGAGGTAGAGGACGGCAAACCAGCGGTACTTGGCTGTGCATTTCCCCAGCGCCTTGGCCATGCGGATGGGCAGGCGTGTGCATGGCACCGGGTACCATAGAAGGATGCCTGAGATGTTGAAGAAGAAGTGACAAAGGGCAATCTGCAGAGGATGAGACAGAGGGGCTGAGGTGGGCACTGGCTCCCAGGTCCTGGGTCAGGCCAGCAGGGGTAGATGATAGGAACACCTGGTCTGGGCAGCCAGAAAGTTGCCACTGAGGGCTGATGTATCTCCCCAGACCACCCCAGGGTAGCTGTGCTGGTATGAAAATATTGAAATACTTCTGGACCAGTTGGTAAATAACTACTGCCCTGAGCTCCCTACATGTTCACCACCGACCTCTCGCTCAGGAATCCCCCAGCAGATTCTGCCAAAGTCTAGCAGCTAAAGGATTGATGTCAGTTTCTGGACCCTCACTCAGTCAGTGCCTTGGCTTGTCAGTTACTCCTTCACTCCTAGAACAATTCCCCCTTTGCCATTTTCAACCCTGTGCCCCACAATGGATTTCCCCAACTGCGCCAGGCCCCCTCTTATTGCACCTCTTCCTCTTCCTTATGGCGCAAATCTGACTCACTGCCATTTATTGCTGTGATTATGAGCAGTGTCTTCCTGTTAGATGCTGAGGTCTTGAGGGTGGTATTGGGTCTACTTTGCTCATATGGTTCCCATAGAGCATAGTAGGTGGCCCTTAGTAGGCAGTCAAAATGTTTGTTGCATGTTGTCACATCTTTGTCAGGCCCCACACCCCGATTCCAGATCCATCCTGCCCGAGGCGGTGCTATGCTCCCAGCATACCTGGAAAGCACTGGACAGCTTCTCCCGGGGGCTGGCCAGGGCAGCCAGGATGGCCGTGGTGGTGGTGCCGATGTTGGAACCCAGTGTGAGTGGGTAGGCCCGCTCAATGCTGATCACACCGAGGCCTGGGGGCAGAGGGAGAGGAGGTGGGACTCCCAGCGTCTCCTTCAGCCCTTTCCCTGCCAGCCCTGTCCCACCCCACTCCACCTCTGCATGGACACTCACCGATGAGTGGGGTGATGGCTGAGGTGAACACAGAACTGCTCTGAACCACGAAGGTCATGCTGGCACCCACCACCATGGCAAAGTAGCCTGTGACCCAGGTGAAGGGGGCAGGGAAATCTGCAAAGAAACCCCATCCCAGCAGGCCGGGGTCAGAGCGGGGGCATTGGGAGAGCAGACCTCTGTGGAAAGGAGGCATTTGGAAGCCACTTTCCCAGTAGGACCTTGTCAGTCTCCTGTTCAGCTGCAGTGCAGTGGCTTCCATTGGCCTTTTTGCTCCTGGATTAAAGTCCTTTCTCAGTCTGGCTTCGTCAGGTGACCATGACTTTGTTGGGGCTGTTCCCTCTGGTGGGAATATCCTACTCAGCATCCAAATATTCATCCTCAGACTCAGCATGGATGTCACTTCCTCTGGAAAACCTTCCCTGACCCCCTGCTCTCTAACAGACAGACATTTTCTCCCTTCTCTGAGCTCCCACAGCCTCATGATACCCCTTATTCTAGCATTTGTCATGCGGCCCCTCCCAGTGGATGAAGTTTAATATGAAAATCAAGACCAGGCAAGGTGGCTCACACCTGTAATCCCAGCACTTTGGGATACTGAGATGGGTGGATCACTTGAGGCTGGGAGTTCAAGACTAGCCTGGCCAACATAGTAAGATCCTATCTCTATTTTTTAAAAAAAATTATGGTTAAAAAATAAAGAGGCTGGGCACGGTGGTTCACATCTGTAATTCCAGCACTTTGGGAGGCCAAGGCGGGAGGCTGATTTGAGGCCAGGTATTCAAGACTAGCCTGGCCAACATGGCAAAACCCTGTCTCTACTAAAAATACAAAAATTAGCCAAGTGTAGTGGCATGCACCTGTAATCCCAGTTTACTCAGGATCACTTGAACCTGGGAGGCAGAGGTTGCAGTGAGCTGAGATCGTGCCACTGCACTCCAGCCTGGGTGACAAGGAAGACCCTGTCTCAAAAAAACAAAAAAGGGGCCGGGCATGGTGGCTTACACCTGTAATCCCAGCACTTTGGGAGGCCAAGGCAGGTGAATCACCTGAGTTCAAGACCAGCATGGCCAATATGGTGAAACCTCATCTCTACTAAAAATACAGAAAAAAAAAAAATACAGAGAAAAAAGCTGGGTGTGGTGGCGCACACCTGTAGTCCCAGCTACTCAGAGAGGCTGAGGCAGGAGAATTGCTTGAACCCAGGAGGTGGAGGTTGCAGTGAGCCAAGATCGTGCAATTGTACTCCAGCCTAGGGTGACAGGGGAGACACTCCATCTCAAAGAAAAGAAGGGGGAAGGAACAAAAATCAGATGGTGTTGCTCCCCTGCCCCAAAAGTCTTCTGAGTACTCATGTTACTCTCAATAAAATCCAGCCTCTGAGCAAATCCTGGAGACCCCATGCTCTGGCCCCTTCCCTGCCATCTCACTGACCCCACTCAGCCAATCCCCTTGTTCATCCTGCTTTTTCCAGCTACTGGCCACCCTTCTGTGCCACCGACCTGCCAAGCTGGTTCCTGCCTCTGAGCCTTTGCACATACTGTTCCTCCACCCAGAGTGCTCTTCATCCGCATCATAGCTACTAGGGTAGCTGCTCCGAGCGGCCTCAGACTACCCATTGGAAGCTGTCTCTTCCATACCCTACTGCATTCCATTTTTCTATGTCCTTGGCAGGTACCTCTCTCTGAATTTATCCCCCTAATTCATTTATTTTCCTTCCTTCTTTCTTTTTCTCTATTTTTTTCGAGACAGGGTCTCACTCTGTTGCCCAGGCTGGAGTGCAGTGGTGCCATCATAACTCACTGCAGCCTCAACCTACTAGGCTCAAGCAATTCTCCCACTCAGCCTCCTGAGTACCTGGGACTACAGGAGCACACCACCATGCCCAGCTAATTTAAATTTTTTTTGTAAAGACAAAGTCTCGGTTGGGCGCTGTGGCTCACACCTGTAATCCCAACACTTGGAGAGGCTGAGGCAGGCAGGTCACGAGGTCAGAGTTTGAGACCATCCTGGCCAACATGGTGAAACCCCATCTCTACTCAATAACACAAAAATTAGCTGGGCATGGTGGTGCACACCTGTAGTCCCAGCTACTCAGGAGGCTGAGGCAGGAGAATCACTTGAACCCAGGAAGTGGAGATTGCAGTAAGCCAAGAACACACCACTGCACTTCAGCCTGGTGACAGGGCAAGACCCCGTCTCAAAAAAAAAAAAAAAAAAAAGACAAAGTCTCGAAGTCTTGGCCAGGCGAGGTGGCTCAGGCCTGTAATCCCAGCATTTTGGGAGGCCAAAGTGGGTGGATCACCTGAGGACAGGAGTTTGAGAGCAGCCTGGCTAACATGGTGAAACCCTGTCTCTACTAAAAATACAAAAACTTAGCTGGGCATGGTGGCAGGCACCTGCAATCCCAGTTACTTGGGAGACTGAGGCAGGAGAATCACTTGAACCCAGGCAGGGGAGGTTGCAGTGAGCCAAGATTGCACCATTGCACTCCAGCCTGGGCAATAAGAGTGAAACTTGGTCTCAAAAAGAATAAAAAAAGACAAAGTTGGCCAGGTCTGTTGGCTTACGCCTGTAATCCCAGCACTTTGGGAGGCCGAGGCGAGTGGATCACCTGAGGTTGGGAGTTTGAGACCAGCCTGACCAACATGGAGAAACCCCGTCTCTACTAAAAATACAAAAGTAGCCAGTCGCGGTGGTGAATGCCTGTAATCCCAGCTTCTGGGGTGGCTGAGGCAGGAGAATTGCTTGAACCTGAGAGGTGGAGGTTGCAGCGAGCCGAGATTGTGCCATTGCACTCCAGCCTGGGCAACAAGAGCAAAACTCTGTCTCAAAAAAACCAAAACAGAACAAAAATACAAAAGAAAAAAAGTTTCATTACGTTGCCCAAGCTAGTCTTGAACTCCTGGGCTCAAGCGATCCTCCTCCTTCAGCCTCCCAAAGTGCTGGATTTACAGGTGTGAGCTACTCACCAATCTCAGTATTCATTGCTTGCCTCCCTCTGCTGTGAGCCCCTGAGGGAAGACCCATCTCTATTTGTCTCACCTCTATCCCTGGCACTATACCTTCCTTGTCACACAATGGGGGCTTAAGGTCCCCACTTGCTAAAACTGAACCACAGCCAGAGGCAGCCACAGGTCTCCAGCTGTCAGCACCTAATTGGCCTCAGAAACCACCTTCTTCACATCGGGAAACTGAGGCGCAGAGATGGTAGGGTTTACCCAAATCAAGGCAGTGGCAGGACTTAACAGGATCTGAAAAGGCCCATCCTGCAGCCCTGCCCAGCCAACTGCTCGCAGCTTACCAGTATTGATAACCTTCTGGATGACCTTGGCCACCTGGCCCTTGAGCAGAGAGTTGAGCATCTTGACGAGGAGGATGAGGCAGGTGCACAGCAGCACCAGGGATCCTGCCAGCAGGATGAGCCCCACAGCCAGGTCTGGCAGGCCCGTGTCCACAAAGATGTGTTTGCCTGCAGGGGTTGGAGCTCCTGACAGCTGACCTCACACCTGGCTCCCGGGTCCCCACCTTTGCCACCCAGTTGGGTTCTGAGCCTAAGGCCCCATGCAGGCTCCTTAAGCCTCAACACTGGAGCCTGATCCAGGCTCAGGAGCTGGCTGGTTGCCAGCCATCCTTCCTGGGTCTGTACACAACAGTGGTTGGGCGTGGGATGGCCCTGCCACTGCCAGGCTCTGCCCTTGCCTGCAGGACACCTCCCATGTTGCAGGCACTTACATTTCTCCATAGTGGCATTTCCAAGGGTCTGGCTGGAGTTAGCCTCTGCCCTGGACGTGGAGGTGGGAGCCTAGATTAAGAGGAGGGTTACTCAGTGAATTAGGAAAATACAACCTGAGGTTGGGGCTGAGATGGGGGTTGGGAGGGATGGGGAAGATGGAGATGGGCCGCCTGCTCTGTGACCATGGATGGATCTCTGAGCCTGTCTCTTCCACTGAGGACACGTGGTGAAAGTACCTGCTGCACAAGAATCTGTCCCTCTATGTGTTCTGCCCTGTCACTCCACTGGCCCAACTATACCCGGGGTCACATCCAATGGCTTCTTGTCTTTGTTTTCCTCCATCTCTCAGTGGTATTGGGTGCTGCTGAACATGCTCCTGTTTGTCTGAAAACACCCGCTACCTCATCTTTCATTACCAATCCCTTTCTTGGTGCCCCTTCATCAGCATCCTGGCTCCATCCTCTCCTCCAAGACACCCTTAGCCCAAGCTCCATTCTCCTCTAGATCAATTCCTTATCCTCAGGGGGTGCCAGGGACAGAGGGCCCAGCTCACACATCTCTTCTGTCCACCTACTGTCAGTGGGGCAAAGTGGCCCCTTAGGGAGGCCCTACAATTCAGAGGTCCACAGGGCTGGGTGGGTAACCTAAGTGAGCAGCTTGGGCTATGTGTGGAAGACGTGGGGAGAGTTTCTCCCAGCCCTATAGAGTCAGCAACTACTCAGCTCCTGACCACTGTCACCATCCAGGGACGCAGCCTAGCGTGGCTAAATTGCCGAGTTTCTATGAAAGAAGCCACAACTCTGAAGTTCTAGATAAAATCTCCCAATCTGGGCCCAGTGCAGTGTGGCTCATGGCTATAATCCTAGCACTTTGGGAGGCTAAGGTGAGAGGATTACTGGAGGCCAGCAATGGGAGGCCAGCTTGGGCAACATAGCAAGACCCTGTCTCCACAAAGACAATTAGTCAGGGCATGGTATACGCCTGCAGTCCTAGCTACTCAGGAAGTTGAAGCAGGAGGATCTCTTGAGCCCAGGTGGTCGAGGGCAGAGTGAGCTATGATCACACCCAGCCTGAAAGACAGTGCAAGACTTTATCTCAAAAAACAAAACCCTTCAAAAGCAGCAAACTCCCAATCTGTAAATACTGGCAACCACGTTGAGATATCCTTTACAATTCAACGAAGGTCAGCAGAAGCAGCCCAGTCTGGCCTGTGGACAACTAATTTGTAGCCTTGTTGGGTTAAGAAGTTATTTATTTATTTATTTTGAGACAGCGTTTTTGCTCTGTTGCCCAAGCTGGAGTGCAATGGCACGATCTTGGCTCACTGTAACCTCCACCTCTTAGGTTTAAGCGATTCTCCTGCCTCCACCTCCTGAGTAGCCAGGGTTACCGGCATCTGCCACCACGTCTGGCTAATTTTTTGTATTTTTAGTAGAGATGGGGTTTCTCCAGGTTGGCCAGGCTGGTCTTGAACTCCTAACCTCAGGTGATCCACTCACCTCAGCCTCCCAAAGTGCTGGGATTACAGGCATGAGCCATCATGACTGGCCAAGATAAGAACTTTCACAGCACCTGGTGTAACATCAGGGTTTATTTTAGCGGGATGTGCTCCCTTGAATGGGACACTGTGCTCATCTGTGCTCCCAGTTCACCACATCAGGGCCTTGGGGACCCATCAAGCCTGGGCCTGAATGGCAGGCCAAGAAGCCTAGGAAAAATAGCCTCTGATGGGCTAGATGGGAAAACCAGGCCGGGAAAGTGATGGTAACTGCCACGAGGGTAAGGGAGAGAGAAAGCCAGGTGTTTGCTGTCAGGCAGATCTAAGTTCAAATCCTTCTTCTTATACCAACTACCCTGGGTAAGCCATGCCACCTCGCAGAGCCTGTTTTCTCTAAAGCAGGGTAATAGAAGAGCTGCTGCAAAGGTTTTAGGGGGAAATGTGTTTAAAGCGCTCATTGCAGGGCATGGCTTCCAATACCAAGCGACCCTCTCCCTCCCTGGGCCCGTTCAGGATCACATTGTGGGGAGGCTGCGTGTGTGACTGACTACCTAGGTCAGGACCAGTGGCCCCTGCAAACAAACCTGAGGACCCTGGCCCTGCTGGGGAGGAGCCTACTGGACCTTCCTGGGAATCCCCAGCCTAGAGGCCCAGGGAGCAGACAACCCCCTGAAATGAGTGGGTGCCTGATCAACCTGTGCCCCACTCACCTAACCTGGGCTGGGCCCAGCGGTCTCCAGGGGGAGGACTGTGGGGCCCTGGGGAGGGTGGGGGAGAATGGGGAATTTTACTGGGGTTCCAGCTTAGGGCTGGACTTAGGGCTGTCAGAGGCAGCAGCGGGGCAAAGCTGAGGGCCAAGCCCTCTAGGTTTTTAGAATCTTGACCTCCCTAGCTGGGGACATGTGGCCCCAGCTGAGAGCCCGGAGACCCTAAAGTACAAGAGAGGAAGGTAGAGGTGGCAGGAGGAACAAAGCCAAGCAGAGAGGGAACTGCGGGAGGGAGCAGGCCCTGTGGCTTCCTGATGAGGCAGAGGGAGAAGATGGAAAGTCCAGCTTAGATAAAAGAGCTGGGAGACCCAAGATCTGGGGGCATTTTCCCAAGATGTGCCCATCCCTGCCTGGGCCTGGGGTCAGGTGGAGAGGCCAGAGGGGCCGGAAGTGGGTGGTGGAGTGGCTCCGTGGGAAGAACAGAATGGGCCTGTGGACGGCCCTAAGCCCATACCCCAGCTAAGCCATTCCCAGCTGTGTGTCACGGGAGCAAACACTTAACCTCTCTGGGCCTGAAGTCCATAATGCTGCCCACCTTTTACCAGGGGCTAGTTGGAAGCATTTTGGAAGAAAGAATTGGGCTTTAAGTGCCTACAGGGACACCCTAAATTAAAGAGGCCCCTCTGGGAACTGAAGGAGGTGATTAAGCTCACAGGAGACTGTCAGGATGTGGGTCTGTACAGTAGTTCCCCCGCAAAGGAAGGGGAGCCCTAGGGCCTTTGTTCTGGAAGCAGAGGGAGAGCACTGTGCCAGCAGCACCATCTGGTGGCGGAAAGAAGAACTCCTCCTTAGAGCAACACCCGCTACCTCTGGAATGGTCTCCACCTGGCTGTGGTCACCTGGTGGTGTTCAGGCCTGACGGGCAGCATGGGAAGCAGACATACATAGTAGAATGTCAGACTGGTGAGTGAGAGAGGCAACGAGATAGGATTCCATCAGGATTTATAACCTACCTCGATTACATGGACTTGGGCAAGCTACTGCACTTTTTTGGGGCTCAGTTTCCTCATCTGTAAAATGGGGGATGTGATAATTTCTGCCTCCTAGGTTGCAAGTCCTCAAAAGATGCTTGTTTAAACCAGGCAGGTATTGTTGACAATCCACAGCGTGGCCACGTAAGAAGGTGAGTCCCAGGACACTCTCGGGATCCCGAGAGACTCATGTGTCTGAACACTACAACTGCCGCTGGTTCTTCTTTCCCCATCTGGAAGGCCTCGGACTCGCCTCCTCCCCCTGGTGCATCGCTTCCCTGGAGACTGGTTTGGGCGAGCTTGGGTCCAGCGTGGTGAAAGCTGAAGTCAATGGGAACAGGTTGTAAGGGAGCACAGAGAGACTCTGTGGCCAAAGGACAAACCCAAGTCTTCAGGCAGGAGGAGCCCGGAGGCACTTCACACTTTGCAAGGGCAAGCGCATCTATCACTGCGTGAGTCACACTCCTTCAGGGCACGGTCCCAGGAAGAGGATGAAAGTGAGAGCTCGGGTCCCACCCACCAGCTCTCCAAGCCGAGGAAATCAGCCCCTCCCCTGCTATTAAGGGAAGTGTTTCCTGCTAGAGCCAGGAAGAGAAACCAGCTGGACAAGCGGCAGCTTCAGCCATAGAGAAAGGCCCGAGGGCGGCCTCCGCACACTGAGCCTGGGTGAGGATGACTTCAGGTGAGGACGCAGAGGCTGCAGGTTGAGAGCTGCCTGAAGCCGCAGCAGGTGGCCGGCGGGGAGCTCAGAGGCAGCGAGGAACAGAGCTCTCTTCCATGGCTTGCTTTTTGCGAAGATCAAAGTGTGTGATTTCTCTCCCTTCCACATTTTGCTATAAAGTAGAGGCTTGTGATTCAGAGAGCTCTGAGAGTGCCCAGAGAGCTCGTGAAAAGGCGGTTGATGTATTAAAGAGGTCACGAAGTCAGCGTAAAAGCTGTCTGCTGGGGCTTTTTGTTGTCAGGCTGCTTTGAACAGCTCAGAGGCTGAGCTGGAGCAACTTCAGACGCAAAGGAACATCGCAGGGCGAGTCAGATGAGTGTTTTCTGTTCACACCAGGATAAAGATCCAGTCACACGGAGCAGCCAGTGGAAAGGGTGAGGGGAAAGTCTTGTGCTTGTGCTGTGGCTCCGGTTTCCTCACATCTCCTTCTACATGGAGTTACATCTTGTATGTAAGCATCAAGGAGAAGCAAATATAGTGGGTTGTGGTTTGGATGAAGCATTTTCCTTTTTATGGCTGAGTAAGGAAGTGTGTTAATTGCCTGCTTCCTCGCCAGCCTGGCATAACTAGTGGTCCGTGAGTGTCCACTCAATTCAAACAGATCTCCCCAGCATTAGAAGCAGCAGAAACAGTGCAGAAGGACAAGGGACTCCTGCCTGTGGCAGTCTCCAGGAGAAGGAACCCCAATGTCAGCACAAGGGGATGTTGTGTCCCCAAGGAGGTCCCCATGCAGCCCACCTTCCTGTTCACCCTACTTTCCTGGGTATCCTTATAACACTCTGCCTCCTCCCTACATTACCTGGGTCCCAAAACATGGCCCAGCTGTCACTAACCCCTCTGGGGTTCTCAGGCCCTGACACTGTGGGACAAGCTCTGGCACGTTTCTTAGCCTCTCTGAATCTGTGTCTCTACCTGTGAAACCCGAGGGTTCAGCTACATCAGTGGTTCTCAGATTTGAGCGCAGAGCCCAGCTGGAGGAACTGCTGAAGCATAGGCCACTGAGCCCCACTCCCAGATTCAATTTCCAGATTCAATAGGTCTAGAGAAGGGCAGGGTGATTTGCATCTCTCCCCAGGCGGTACCCAAGATGCTGGTCTGGGACCACACTTCAAGAACCACTGGGCTAGGTCAATTACATAACAACTCTCATTGATTGGTGATGTCTGCCTAAGGGAATGTGTGAAGTTGGGAGGAATTAGCAATGTTTACCATCAGCACAGTAGAAGGGCCACATATTTGCCCTCTCCTGGCTAAATGATCTTCAAGGTCTATCTGGAGCATTTTAACAGACAATGAAACCAATAGTCTGAAGAGGGAGTCCTCTTACCTGGGGCTAGGCCTGAGACTTACCGCTGTGGAGTCTGGGTGGCACCAGACCCGGATGAGACTGTGGTTCCTCAGGGACTCATCACCAGTGGCAATGCTGGTTATCACGGACTTGTCCAGCTGTGGGAAAGATGTGGGTGGGGGAGTGAGGGAGGGTGGGTCCCTTGCTACCCCCACCCTTACCCCACGCCAGGCTCTGCTGTCACCTGGATGATGAGCTTTGTGAAGGGCTCTGTGATGATCTTGAGCAGGTCAGGAGCGTCACGGCCACCATGGATGTTGAAGGAGGCCACCACAAGTTGAGTAACGTGGTGCAGGTAGCCAGTGGCAGCCTCCAGGGGCAGCAGGACCAGAACGGACAGCCAGTTAAAGCAGTCATGCACCGTGGCCCCTGCGAAGGCCCTGGGCAGGGAGGCCACATTGCAAGGCAGTCTGGAGCCAGAGCACAGACACACCTGGGGTTCCTAGCATCTGGGGCTGCCCTCCCCCAAGCACATACCCCCAACTCCCAGCCCCCCTCACCGCCGGAAGTCAGTCCTGTCCCCCGCCTGCATCAGGGCCACGATGGTGTTGGTGACAGAGGTACCGATGTTGGAGCCCATGATGATGGGGATGGCAGAGCTCACCTCCAGCACTGGTAGAAGAGAAGGCATCCTAACGAATTTGGGGGTCACCCAGCTCCTGCCCCACCACATTTCTTGTCAGGCCCCCTACCCACATCCCAGTCCCCAGTGGCTGCTACTGCCATGCTGCTGAGTCTGCCTAACCTTGGTGTCACAGGTACACGTGGGCTCGTGCTGTGCATGTACAGGTATGTGCATTCATCCATGCGAGTAGATGTACATGCACCGCGTGTGGTGTATGGATGTGAACGTGTGCATGTGTGAGGCCTGCGTTATGAGGGCTCATGGGATTGTGTCCTATGTACAAATAGGGATTTGTGCTTGCGTGTGCACACATGTCCCTGAGTGTGACGGTTAGTTTTATGTGTCAACTTAGCTAGGCTGTGGTACCTAGTTATTCAACCCAATACTAGCCTAGGTGTTCTGTAAGGCGTTTTGTAGATGCAATTCATGTCTATAGTCAGCTGACTTTAAGGAAAGGAGATTATCTTCGGTAACCTGGATCAGTCTCATGCAATAGGATGAAAGGCCTCAAGCAGGACTGAGGCTTCCCTGAGGAAGGAGAAACTCTGTGTGAACTGCAGCCTGGGCTCCTGCCTAAGAGTTCCCACCTGCCCTTCCAATGCCCTGGCCCACAGATTCCTGACTTGCCCAGACAGCCCCACCATGGGGGAAGCCAGTTCCTTGCTATAAATCATCCTGGTTGCATACAGCTGGAGTTTGGGCTCCTTTGGTGTCCCTGGCTGATACAGGAGTCAGGCTGAATGGAGGCCAGCCTTCCTGTGGCCACGCTCCCCATTTGCCACCCTTCCCAGCTCCTGAGGAGCCTCTGCTGGCTCAGACTCTTGGCCATGCTTTAGGGGACAGGGTGGGAAATGGAGCCCTGCCCTTTGCTCTCAGCCCTTGTTCCATCCTTGCCCCAGACCCGAAGCCCTGCCTCGCTGCCCTAGTCCCCAGACAATTAGACCCAGTGCCTCCAGGCTCTTCCCCACCCTGGTGGGCCAACTCACAGCCAGAGGAGACCATGCTGACGATGATGGATGTGGAAGTGCTGGAGCTCTGCACCAGCACCGTCACCAGGATCCCTACCACCAGCCCAGCCACCGGGTTGGACAGGATGGCATTATCCTTGAAGATGTCACCAGCCACCTTTCCTGGGGAGCATAAGCCAGCATTGTCCAAGGCCCTTCAGGAACCCCTCCTGGGTCTCCTGCACCCAGGCCCTACCTCCAGCCAGCTGGAAGGCTGAGCTGAGCACATCCAGGGAGCAGACGAAGAGGTAAAGGAAGGTGAGCGTCAGCAGCACCTTGAGCAGCATGGCACCAGCCTGGCACAGCTTGGGGAACAGCCTGGGCTCTGGAGGGGGGCAGCCATGAGCACAGCAGGCAGAGGCCAGGGCAGGAACTGCTGCTGCCCCTGCTGCCCCCCACCCAGGCCCACCTGGCTTCTGCTCCTCCTCCAGGGCCAGCTTGGCAGGCAGTGGCTCATGTCGCTCCAGTACCTCCCCACAGGGGCAGGTGTGCTCGGCAAGGGCCACAGGGCCCAGGTTGGGAAAGGCATAGGCAGAGGTTCCTGGGATCCTGTGCAGGACTGGGGAGGGAGGCTGGTCAGGAACTCCTAGAGGCCTCAAGGTGGGGAGGTGGGGAGGGACAGGCAGGAGAAGTGGCCTCACCCGGGATGTGGGCAACCGTGGGCAAGCAGGATCCAGGGTGTGGGAGCAGCACTCACCCTGAGGGCTGGGCACATAGGCAAAGGCTGCCCCTCGCATCACGTGCCCCCCACGGACTGGGAGTGGGGAAACAGCAGGGGTCCCCAGTCTCTCTCCATAGGACAACATCCTGGGCACCGCTGTGAGGCCTGCAGGTCAGTGGATCACAGGAACACTGAATGGCAATGGCTGTGTCCTGGACGCTCACGCCCACACACCCTCACCTGCATAAACTTCCATGGTGCATGATTCCAAACACACACCCGGGAAAGCACACCCTCCAACCTCACCACCACCACACACACCCCTCTGAGACTCACATGTGCACATCTGTGCTGGACACCTGCATGTGAGTCTCGGAGGGGTGTGTGTTGTGGTAATGAGGTGTTCATTCATTCACTCATTCACTGAATATTATTGAGCTCTAGCCCAGGCTCTGAACCAGATATGCTGGGATATAGTGGTGATAAAAGATGCTGAGATCTTGGCTCACTGCAACCTCTGCCTCCCAGGTTCAAGTGATTCTCCTGCCTCAGCCTCCCAAGTAGCTGGGATTACAGATGCCTGCCACCATGCCCAGCAAATTTTTTGTACAAACTCCTGACCTCAGGTGATCCGCCCACTTGGCCTCCCAAAGTGCCTGGCTGGACTGACATGTTATATGGGGCACGCTGAGGTGGGTACAGATAGGACAGAGATGAAGGGACTGGAGTGCTGGGTTGTTTCCTACTCGGAGCTGGGGGTAGGGTTGGGATGTGAGGGCCCTGGGCTCACCTTGGGGTTCTGTTTCCACTTCAGCTCAGCAGCTTAAGGAAGCCTCCAGGACCCTGAGGAGAACTGGGACCCTCCTCCTTTATACCCTCGGGTCAAGGGCAAAGTCCCTAGAACCCTAGCTGCCCTCCCTCTGTTCCCCGATTAACCTCACCGCTGAGATTCCTCCCGGTTAATTGCTAATCGTCAGCTCTGCATGGGGAATCTGTGGTCAGGCTCTCCCATCAACCACGATCCAGACACATCCCCCACCCCCAGGCAGAGACCCTGATGTCACTCAGCACCTTGTTCCCAGGGTTCCCTCATTCCTGGCCTGACAGGACTCCCCAGGGAGTGACCTAAACATCCTGTGGCCTTCAGAGGTTGCCGTGAGCTGAGATCTCACCACTGCCCTCCAGCCTGGGTGACAGAGAGACTCCGTTTCAAAAAACAGACAAACAAAAACATCCTATGGCTTTGCCAAGCGTCAGGGTGTCTGTGAGTCTGTGGGGATTGGGGTTGGGGGAACTCAGAGGAGGAGTGTGAGATGAGGCCCTAACCCGGAGAGGCCACAGAATGTTGAATCGTGGCGGGTCTCTCATGCCCGACTCTGGGTCCACGACGTGCGTCTGAGTGAACGTGGAGCCGCTGGCCCGACTGAGAAGGGCCTGATCTCCCTTTTAGAATGGCCCATCTGGGGTGGAGCCAGGACACGTCGAAGGGAGCCTGGAAGTGGAGAGGCCAATTAAGAGGCTGACAAAGTGGTCCAGGCGAGAGACGAGAAGGCCCGAACTAAGATGGGAATGGAGGGGCTGAGGAGAACAGGTGCATCCCAGGGACACCTGGCCAGTAGAATTTGTGATGGGAGGGAGAGAAGGAAATAGATGGCATTCGGGTCTCTGGATATTTGGTGAGGGCTGGGTTCATGCCCAGGTGGGACGGTGTCTCTGAGTCAGGGAAATGCAATCATTTCTGAGTTCTTGTGTCAGAATCACTGGGTCCTTGGGCTCGGAGGTGCTGTTAATGTCACATCGAGTTTCTCCACCTATGAGCAAGCTGACATCCCCACAGTGGGCCCAGAGACCCCGGCCCACATGACCTGTTTCTCTTCCCCGCCCATGCAGCTCAGACCCTTGGTAGGAACAGCTAAATCTGAGGTGCTCCTGATGAACTGGGGGTGTTTCTCCTTTTTAATAAAGCTGTGCTTTTTGACGTTTTGGAATTTTGCCTTCGCTGCTGTCACGGAGCTCCGGGTTTAGTGGGGGAGGCAGTTAGTTATCGATCAAATCCATCATAAGAGATGTAATTCCAAAATGCTGCGGATTTACACAGCCACCACTTCCAAATATTTATTTTGGGGGTACAGCCCCAGTGAAAGTGAGAAAATGCTGGATCTGATCAGAGCTGCTATTGGGACTCACAAAAGCAGCAGAGAAGGCGGCTCCGTTTCAGCCCCAAAGTGTCTCTTCCCAACCTCTCTGCCATTTCAGTGCCTCCCTGCCTACTGCCTGCCTCCTCCCTGGTCAGTGACAGAGTCTGTGTGTCCCCCTGGGTGGCGACTCCCACCTTGTCTGTGCACCTGGGCTCTGGCCATGGCCTCCCCAGACCTTTTCTGGGCTGAGAGCCTGCCTGGCTGGAGGTGTCTAGCGCTGTGAAAAGGTACCCAGCAGGAGGAGCTGTTTTGGAGGGAAGATGCCAAGCTCCGTCTGCTCAGGCTGTCTGAGCGGCCTCTGGCAGGAGCAGTTGGCTCTGCAAGCCAGAAGCACACACTGTGCTCAAAGGATAGGGAATGTGCCCTCGCAATGAACTCCTTTCCCCATCTACACCCTCAAGGGGCAATAAACAAACACTGACGGGCTTGCTCCAGGCCCCCTTGTTCCTGCACTGCCCCAGGAGTCTCAGCACTGCCCCAGAAGTCTCGGCTATTGGGGTGGAGGCATCCTGATCTGCCGAAGCACTCCCCACATTGATTGTCCCGGTGTCCTTGGCTGTTGTGATGGGGGTGTGCAGAGCTGAATTCAAGCCCTGGAGGAGAGGAGTCTTTTTTTCTTTTGTTGAGATGGAGTCTTGCCCTGTCACCCAGGCTGGAATGCAGTGGTACAATCTTGGCTCACTGCAACCTCCGCCTCCTGAGTTCTCACCCCATACCTGGGTCTCCTCTTCCTGATCTTGGTGAGCAGCACACGGTCCCTCCATCTGGGCCGGACACCAAGCAGGCGTCCTTGCTGTTTCTTTCCCCTCCACTTCCTCGTTTCCAAACCATTCCCCAATTCTCCCAATGTTATAGCTCCAGGAGCTCCCTGATCTTTTGCTGTCAGGCATCTCTGTGGCCACCTCCCTGGACTGGGCCTGTCATCTCCTCTGGGTCATCATGGTGGTCTCCCAAGCACTCTGTCCCAATTTCTGCCCTTGTTGCCCCTGATCCATGCTCCAAAACAGCAGACAGCAATCTTTTCAAAATGCCAAGCTAAGCCGGGCGTTGTGGCTCATGCCTGTAATCCTAGCACTTTGGGAGGCCAAGGTGGGTGGATCACCTGAGGTCAGGAGTTCAAGACCAGCCTGGCCAACATGGTGAAACCTCGTCTCTTCTAAAAATACAAAAAAATTAGCCAGACGTGGTGGCTCATACCTGTAATCCCAGTTACTTGGGAGGCTGAGGCAGGGGAATCACTTGAACTCAGGAGGTGGAGGTTTCACTGAGCTGGGATTGTGCCACTGCTTCCAGCCTGGTGACAGAGCAAGACTCCATCTAAAAAAAAAAACCAATTTCTCCAGGAGCAGCATAACTGCTGAACGGAGGGAGAGAACGATCCCAAGAACAAGTGTGCGCATCCAGGAACTGAGCAAGCTGTGGAGGCTGGCACAACCCACCATTTCTGCAATTCTTCTTCAGATCTATGTGCTCCTTAAACGCACAGTTTGTTACATGTGGGATTTCCACAGGACCTAAAGTTTGAAGACAGTCAAGGGAAGAAAACCAACATCCAGCTGGGCGTGGTGGCTTATGCCTGTAATCCCAACACTTTGGGAGGCCAAGGCAGGCAGATCACAAGGTCAGGAGTTCGAGACCATCCTGGCCAACCTGGTGTAACTTCATCTCTACTAAAAATATAAAAATTAGCTAGGTGTGGTGGCACTCATCTGTAGTCCTAGCTACTTGGGAAGCTGAGCCAGGAGAATTGCTTGAACCTGGGAGGTGGAGGTTGCAGTGATCCAAGATCATGCCACTGCACTCCAGCCTGGTGACAGAACAAGACTTCATCCAAAAAAAAAAAGAAAAAAAGGAAAAAACCCAACATTCAAGACCTTTCTGGCCAAGCACAGTGGCTCATACCTGTAATCCCAGCACTTGAAGTCTGCGGTGGGAGGATCATTTGAGCCCAGGAGTTCAAGACCAGCCTGGGCAACATAGCAAGACCCCGCCTCTAAAAAAATAAAAAATAATTAGCCAGGTGTGGTAGCATGTGTCTGTAGCTGGGAAGGCTGAGCTGAGAGAATTGCTTAAATTTGGGAAGTCAAGGCAACGGTGAGCTGTGATTGCACCATTGCCCTCCAGCCTGAGTGACAGAGTGAGACCCTGTGTCAAAAAAAAAAGACAGGTGTGGTGGCTCATGCCTGTAATCCCAGCACTTTGGGGGGCTGAGACAGGAAGATCACAGGTCAGGAGTTCGAGACCAGTCTGGCCAACATGGCGAAACCCTGTCTCTACTAAAAATACAAAAATTAGCCGGGCATGGTGGTGCACACTTGTAATCCCAGCTACTTGGGAGACTGAGGCAGAAGAATCGCTTGAACTCAGGAGGCAGAGGTTGCAGTCACTGAAGATTGCATCACTGCACTCCAGCCTGGGCAAGAAGACTGAAACTCTGTCAAAAAAAAAGAAAAGAGAGAGAGAGAGAGAGAGGAAGGAAGGGAGGGAGGGAGGGAGGGAGGAAGGGAGAGAAGGAAGGAAGGAAGGAAGGAGAGAAAGAGAGACAGAGAAAGGGAGGGATGGAGGGAGGGAGGGAGGAAGGAAGGAAGGAAGGAAGGAAGGAAGGAAGGAAGGAAGGAAGGAACCATTCTGTCCATGACCTGGATTTTTGTTTTGCAGCGGTAGGAAACTGACTAATGACCAGTGTAACCTCATAACTGGATTTCCCATCGGTGTAGTTTGAGAGCTCCTGCCTCTTCTCACAAGCAAGCTCTTTATTCAACAAATATCTAAGCTCCATGATGAGTCAGGATGGTGCTGTATGTTGGGCGTATGGCAGAGAACATCTCATCCTGGCAGTCAGACCAGCACAATTGCCATGCACACAGTCACGAGTGCACACTGCACACATCAGGGGCTCATCTCCTCTGTATCTCTGGTCAAAAAAGTGGTTCTCACCAGTGGGTTCCCTTTGGGGAACAAAGCAATACCTCTCCTGGCCCCCTTGACTTCGTCCTCTCTTGGAGAGCCTGGCCTTCAATCGGAGCTGCCCGGCCCTAAAACATTGTCTGTTCCAAGTTCTATTTTCCAGATGGGGACCCAAGGCTAAAATAAATCCTATGGGCCTAGGGCAGTGTTGGCTGACCTGAGAATGCCTCGTGCCTGTTTAGGGAATAAGCGTCCTGTGTATATTATTAATCTTGGTGGCCCAGGCACTGGTCACTCATTTACTGATAAGGCCAAAGTCTGTGGCCAAAAGAGCTGAGGCTGCTTTGGGCTTTTCTCAGAAGTCACCTCTTTCCCTGCAGCTTACTTCCTCAGTGGCTCCAGCCTATCACACTGGCCTCAGGACAAGGCCAGAGAGCAAGACTGAGTGCATGGTACCAAAGCAGGCCTGGGTCTGATGTCCAGGTCTGGACATGAAGCTCTGAGGTCTGACTTTAGACTTCATATCTTGGGCTCTGTATTCCAGGCCTGGAGCTTTTCTCCAGGTTCTGGGATCTTCTCCCTGCTGGGAGCTCCAGGCCCTGCTCTCTAAATTCTCAGGTTCAAGCTCTGAGTTCTGGGCTCTGGGTTCTGCCACCCAGTCCCCTGGCCCTAGTTTCTGGCTTCAGGTGTCAGACTTGGGGCTCTGGTTCTAGACACTGGGTTCCAGGTTCTGGGTTCCA